AGTTTCTACCTCTGCTCCTTGGATACATGTGCAAATGTTTTGCACCCAAAATTTCTTAAGTGAGAATATGAGGTATTCCTACCAGACCACACCTTCTCCAGAATATCAAAATTTAATGTTACTGATGGTGATCTGTTTATCAAATAACAGACAGCATGAACAGCTTCACCCCAAAATGGCTTTGGCAGCTTTGTCATACTGAGCATGCATCGAGCTCTTTCCACAATAGTTCGATTTATCCTCTCCGATATTGCATTGTGTTATAGGGTACATGGAACAGTCTTCTCATGTCTAATACCATAATTTTCACAGTATGCTTCAAACTCTCTGGAAGTATATTCGCCTTCATTGTCTGTTCGGAGACACTTTAGCTTTGTTCTTGTTTCCCGCTCTACCATGGCATAGAATCTTTCGAAGCATTCGAGTACTTGGTCCTTCTTCTTTAGGAAGTACACTCATACCTTCTGTGAAGTATTATCAATAAAGGTCAAACAATATCTGTTGTCACCCAATGATTCCACCTCTAGGGGACCGCAAACATCAGAGTGTACTAAGCTTAACAACTCTGATCTCCTCTTCATAGAGGAACTGATCGAGACTTGATGTTGTTTACCAAACAAGAAATGATCACAAGGATTTAGTGCAACATCCTTGACAACTGTGATGAGATTCTTCTTTGTCAAGGTAAACAATCATTTTTTCCCCATGTGACTGAGTCTCTAGTGCCACAAATTTGGTGAAACCTCATTTTTAACTGCATTAAGGCTGTTTGAGCAAACCTTCACATGGGCATGTAAAGCATGTCATAAATATGTCCTTGGGCAACAACCATAGCACCTTTCATGAGCTTTCATGTGTCATTGCCAAAGTGGTTAACGTAGCCCTGTCTGTCGAGGGCTATCTCGAAAAGTAGATTTAGCAGAAGGTCGGGCACGTGTCGAACATCTTTCAATGCCAGTGTATAGCCAACATTTATTTTTATTTGAATATCACCAATTTTCAGGATCTCGGAAGAACTGGTGTTTCTCATCCTCACCGTGCCAAAGTCTCCAACTTTGTACGTCGAGAAGAAATCGTTGTGAGAAGTGGCGTGGTATAAAGCTGCAGTATCTACCACCCACTCAACGCCATGGTTTGAAAAATGAAAGCATGTCTCCTCATTGATAGAAAAAATAGTCACGTCCTCTGAGAGAGTGACTAGCGTCGCTCTGTCTTGTTTCTTCGGCTAATTACTGCCTTGGTCTTACTCTCGTAGTAACTTGCGGCAGTTTTCCTTCATGTAACCTTTCATGCCACAATGATAACACTTGTATGTATGTCTTCCTCCATCATTTGATCTCCCTAGATCTTGTGACTTTTCTCTACTCTTACTCTTTCCTCTTCTCTTGCCTCTACTACCTCCTTATTGTTTGCCTCTGCTTTCAATGACGAGGGCATTTGACTGATCAATGCCAACATCCTTTCTCCTAGCCTCCTCATTGAACATGGCATCCTTAACCGTTGACATGGTAAGTTTGCCTCCTGTAGCTGAATTGCTAAGAAAGACTACCAGTGTCTCCCAGCTGTCTAGTAGAGGACTGAGAAGCAAGAGAGTTTGTACTTCATCCCCCAGATTCAACTCTACCAATGATAATTGATTTATCAGACTCTAGAACTCACTAGTGTGCTCAGCAATTAAAGTTTCACTTTTTAACTTCAGATTCACAAACTACCTCATTAAAAGGGATTTTTTCCAAGCAGTCTTAGCCTAGTACATGTCTTTCAGCTTCTTCCAAAGAACATGTGCATTAGTCTCTTGTGCAACATGGTGGAATACACTATGGTCAATCCATTATCTGATTTGACCGATGATTTTTTTGTTCAATTTCTTCCACTTTGTTTCTTTTGTCGGATCTGGATTTACACATTTTACCTCCAAGGGATCATACAAGTCTTTACATCTTAGAAGATCTTCCATTCGAGGTCTCCAAAGTGTATAATTGGAAGCAATGAGTTTGATCATGGCTCCCGACGTTGATTCTTCCATGGACATTTTGAGTTTTTAGGCCCTAAATATCTCGATCAAAAATTTTGAGGTTGAATTTTGCGAAATGGAGTGCACCATTGAGTCCGTAAACGATTCAAATAGTTGGGAAAGAGTCCTAGTTTACCAAAAAAAGGAGCTAAAATGAGGTTAAAACTGGCTCAAAAAGTTTTTGGAAACCTAACAGAATATTCAGTTAAACTTGACGGAATATGCTGAGGGAATATGGAAGGAATATTCTCTAGAAATATTCTTTGACTAGATGGAATATACTCTGAGAATATTCATTGACTGAGATAGAATATTCTTTGACGGAGTGGAATATTCTATCACCTTCAACCTTCCTCCGGTCCACCGGTCTGGCAAACTTTTCCGGTGAACTTTTCGACAGTCTCCGGCAAACTCATATAGTAACTCCAGCGGCTGGTAAACTTTTTCGACGTGGACTATGAGAGAATGTCCGACATCGGATTGATATGAGGCCAATGGGGTTCGACGAGGGGCTCAGAATTTGATTTCGAGTTCGTTTAGAACCCGTACGAACAAAAATAGTGAGTTGGAAAAAAAAATTTCAACGACCCAACCAAAGCTCTAATACCACTTGTTGATTACCCAGGGCCGAAAATACACCACAAATAAGATATAAACAGAAGTGGAATCTTTATTTCTCTCTAAAAATAAAATACAAGAATTTTTACAAAAGATTCTCACAAATGAGATCTCTCTCTCTCTTTCTGTTTCTTCATCACTAATCTTGAGCATATCACTGACCTTCACTAAGCTTCCTATTTATAGGGAGTTTTTGGCTAAAAATCAAGAAGATAAGGGAACCCATTTAAAGCACCGGCAATATTTGTCAAAAAACCAAGTCATCTTGTCGTCAAGCCGTCCATAGAGGTGGCTACTAGAGTGCACTACTGGGTAACCTTCTAATGGAGCTAGAACCTTCAAGATTTTCCCATTTGTTATGGGACTTGGGGATTTTACAGTAACCACGGTGGATAAGGATAGTAGAGATGGCGAAAATGTATCAATGATGTGTGTTGGGTATTGAATAGATGGAGCCGGAGTTCATATGGTGGTTGTGGTGGTGTATTGATAGCAGTGATTTTGGTGGGATTTGATTTTGGTGGGGAACTTGCAATGGGCTTCTTCTCTCTTGTTTTCTCTTTTCTTTTCGCTGATTGATAGCTGGTGGGTGGTGCTTGGTTTGGTAGTTGATGCTGCTACTAGTGTTGGTGGTGGTTGCTTGGTGAAAGCTGTGTTAGGGCGGTGGCGTGGGAGTTGGAGTTGGTCACCCAGTTGGGTAAAGGAAAGAGAAAGAAAATAAATGGATAATTTTGTAAGTTAAAGATGGATAATTTTGTTAGTTAAAGAGGGGTAATTTTGTATTTTCAACAAACTTTAGAATATTTTTTTTACAGAATTTAATGCCTTCACTTTTAACAGCCAAAAACTAACCACATAAATTAATTGCAAAAATTTAGAAGTGTAAAGGGTAAATTGTTAAAATTGAAATCGAAGAGAGTCGATTGCAATAAAACAATACTTGAAGGGGATAATTTATAATTAACCCTAAATAATATTGTCGTGCTTTGAAGCCAACATGATGGATTAATCATCACTTTGAAAATTAACAAACTTGCTCAACTCAACAAAACTTTATCCTAACATTTTTAAAGTCGATTGCATAAATCATATTTCATCATTGTGCTCATTCTTTAAATTCATGCTCGTGTTTGGTCTAACACATTTTACGCTGACTGTCTACTACCTAACGCAACTCTGTTTCTTTATTCAGATTTAGGATTGATTGTTTACAAAAGTACATAGGCGGAGTTGAGAATCAACAAACTTCTCCAATCTAATTTCCATCATTGTGCACTCTCGGATAACCCGATTCTAAAAATTAGACCCGGTGAAAAAAACGAAAAAAAAAAAAAATTGGTAATTTGTCCCCATGAAGAATCAAAAAATTTAAGATTAGGGATTTATGTGTTGTTAAAGATGTACATATTGCAAATTCTTCATAGATTGGACAGTCATTCATTTGCGCAGTAAATTTGGAGTCCAGTAATATGTTGCTAGCCTTGATATCTCGATGGAATATTGGAGGATCAGGGATCAGCTTCTGTATGCAGGCAGAGAATGCCCTTGGCTGAACCCAATGCAATTTTCACACTCATAGTCATAGCAAAGCTTAGTGGCTCTTTAGAATTGCCTGTGACATGAAAATTAACCATCTATTCAAGCACCAAGGAATTAACTAGTAAAATAATTAAGCAAAAGAGTGAGTCTCAGCCCCCAAAAAAAGAAAAACTTAACCATGGAGGAAGAGTAGAGAGATTTTGAGAGTCCCAATGAAGTTTGTAAGACGTACCAGATAGTTGATTAGTGGGGTACGGTTTAGATTTAAAGGATTAGAAAACTTAACCCTATCGTGTTCAGATTAGAAAACTGGTTGCTTGCACTCCGAATGCAAAGAGATTGTAAACCAGGAATAAAAACCAGATCAACATCAAAGACAACTTTAGTCTTCTAAAATCCAAACATAAGGTATGGGTGAGGAGCAATCACATCAATGAAGTCAGAGAAATCAGAAGGGGAGATAATTCTGTTCAGACTATGGATAGAGAAAGAAATGCAGTCTATCTATAAGCTACAAAGCCTCAAGAGATTAGAAGAGACAATCAGACAAAATTCAAGGAGGGGAGACAGAGGTTTTCACGCCCATTTTCGAATTCGAAATTGAAATCAAAAAAGAGGACGGTAAGACTCTCCACGGGCTCAAAAGTAAGCAACCTTGTCTACATCTACTTTCCTCATAAGAAAACGGACCTAATATTAATTCTAGATGCAGGCACGCCTAAATCATAATCACATGTAGTCAATCCCACCGCATAGGAAAGAGAAATATAGATGATATGGCCAGCATTGCAGCCAAGTAACATAAATTAGTGAGAGAGAGAGCAAAGGACAAAGTCGCACAAATCAGATGGCTCACTAGCATCCATAGCTTGGCTTCATAGACAGATACTATAAAAACATCCTGAAAGTGGACAAATTTAAGTAGAATAAAACAGGTGCGCACACTAGATAATTTGCCCAAATAGGCAGTAACGACTTTTTTGTGTTCTGATAATGGAAACAAAGATTTGAAAAAACATCTCCTGGCAGTGGATACAGAAATGTACCAATCTTGTTTCAGTTCTTCTCGTTATTTGTAGAAATCGAAGTCAGTGTCGGGCTTCTTTACGTTGGTTCTATAACCCTTCTCAAAGTCTTTAGGGAGTATGACATACCGGTTTTTGCGGACTGCATGCATCCCTGCTTCTTGACATATAGCTGCAATCTGTAGACAATGATCTAGTTAGAAAGAGTTTCCACAAGTTGAAATATTGTTGGGCAATGGCCTCTACACACACATCAATGACTCTACATACACCTCAGCATAAAAGAGTGCAACAAACAAAGGAATAATGCAAGATAACAATCAAATATTCTTTCCAGACAATAGATGTAAGGCAATTGAAACCCAAGCACCTTGTTTTCCCCAAACCGAAAACTGCAATAATAAGTCAACTAACCTCGGCAGCACTGATTTTGTCTGGCCGGGAGACATAGTCCTCCAAATCAACCTCATCACCTAAATTCATTTTAGCAGTGCAAACCTGCATAAGATAGTCCAGCTTAGAGTGTTCTACAGTTGACTACGTAAAGCCTTAAAACAAATAAGCACTCTAAATCCCTTTTTGGTAGTTACTGTTTTTCTTCCTTTTTTTTTCGGGGACCGAGGAAGGGGGAGGGGAGGGGGGTTGGGTTATGAATATAGAATTGCAATTAGGAAAAACATCAAGTACTGGGCCCCTGATAAATAAGGCAGATATGATATAATTATCGAAGTTCTCTCAAGCCTCACCTGAAAAACAAGCCTCTTTTGTCGTCTGTCGGGTAAAGGAAACTCAATTTTTCGGTCAAGCCTTCCAGGCCGCAGAAGCGCAGGGTCCAAAGTGTCAGCTCGATTAGTTGCCATGATAACCTTTACATTCACAGTCTGGTCAAACCCATCCATCTGCAGAAGGAAACTTAAATTCATAAGTATAGAGGTCCACGAAATGAGTCAGAAATCATGGCAGTCAGGTGCAAGCAAACTTCAGGCACCCATAATTTATCACAACAACGTCCAGAAAAAACTGATTCTTTGAGTTCTCTAACAAAATCCTACTTTTATATACATCTTAAAGCAATACCTGATTTAAGAGTTCCATAAGGATTCGCTGAACTTCTCTATCCGCTCCAGTCTGAGCATCAAACCTAGCGGTTGCAATTGCATCTACCTCGTCAATAAAAACAATGGCAGGGGCATTTTCTTTGGCAAGACGAAAAACATCGCGCACCATTCGTGGACCCTGAAAAAGTTATAGCAAAGAATAATCACTATGAACACTATTTCAACAACCCAGCTATTGCCAATTCATAGAACAAGAAAAACAACAAAAATAGCATAAAGAACACCTTGGCTCTCGGTGCCATTACTTGTTAATTTGGCAGTGCAAAGGCCATAGCAAACACGTATTCATATAAGAGATTAAGCTAGGCCTCCATTTGGATCTCAAAAAGAAGAGAGGGAAAGAAAATGCTTAAAATTATGAGCAGATAATTCATCCTCAAGCAATTTCCTCACCTTTTCCTAGTTTTGAGGTACAACAAAGCCTATATATATGCAACCTTTCCTCTCAATTAAACGGACAAATGAAATAAACCTCCAACAACTCAATAACAATGAGGACTCTCAATTCTGTCAATGTTTCCAAATAACAAACAATAATCATGCACAAAATATACACAAAACTATAAATAATTAAATGGTGCAAATACGGACATAGAATAATTCAAAAAAATCCTCAATGCACACCTCTCCCAAATACTTCTGAACGAACTCTGACCCAACAACTCTGATGAAGGCAGCAGTTGTATGGTGAGCCACGGCCTTGGCAAGCATGGTTTTACCAGTGCCTGGTGGACCATAGAGCAGAACACCACGAGGAGGATCTATACCAATCTGCTTGTACAAATCAAAATGAGTCAAAGGTAGTTCGACAGCTTCACGGATTTCCTGCTTTTGAATGTCACATCCTCCAATATCCTGACAAACCAAGCAAAGAGGGAAATGAGGGGGAAGAAAAATCATTTTGTAAGCCTTAACAAGAACCAACACCATACCCTAGAAAAAACAAGGACCCAACCTCCAAAAGGAAGAGACAACGGTTAAGAAAATGGCACACTCACATACGGCAATTGAATAATAATGCTACTTATTTGACAACGTGATAAAGTGACACCTGAATTAAATATCAAAATTGCCACCACCCACTATTGCTGCCTCACCCACTGCCATGACAACATTGACAGCAGCCGCACCACCCCCACTTTATGTTTTTTGTTATAGGAAACAAATCACTCTTCTTAATGAATAAGAAATAAATTACCTAAGAAAAAATTGAATAAGATATCCACCTAGAAGCAAACAAATAAAAGCACTGAATTAAAAAAGCCTATAGATCACATGAAGCTCTCCATCCCGATAGAATAACAAATAGTGAAATTTCATTGAACTCCTTTGAAACCGAAGCCCAAAAAGATGTTAAGAAATGAATACAGTTCCACATTCCTTCTATACATTCACACCGGTCTTAAAAAATTCTAGCATTCTATTCTTTCTAAATAACATAAAACATAGCCTTATAGCACAATTCCACACCTCTGTTTCAGATCTTCCCAATCTTTTCAAATTTTCAACAAACACTGAATTTGATGTTGCAGGAATCACCCAACTCATGCCCACAACGCAAAACAAATAATATCACAATGTCAATGCAACAGGACAGTGTAAAAATAAATGATCAATACTGTCCAAATCATCTTGACACATTACACACCATTGAGGAGAAAGACAAGAACAAGGCCTCCCTTTCTTAATCATGTCATTAGTATTTATCTTTCGATGTGCAATCGTGCATGCAAATATTTTTATTTTATTAGGGATTTTAGCTTTCCATGTCATCAAAGCAGGAGTGAAAAAGGGACAATTAAATTCTTGATTTGGTATTCAATTTTATTAGGGACTTCAGCTTTCGGGATCAAGTGCTGGAGTCTATTTAAAGACTTGATGTCAGTTCCAAAAATATTGTAAGCTTTACTGCTATTGGTCAGTTGATTTGGTATTCAATAAAATTATCTGAGCCCTTGCTTGCTGAAATTCCTTGTGAGTGGTTGTATGAGTAATTCTTCTATTTATTTTCTAACAATCAGGCATATGATGCTGGATGCCATAACGACAAGGATGCTGAGACTACAACATTAGACACCTCAGAATAATACCAAGTCCACCTATTCTAAGTTATATTATTTACACGTACATTTAGCAATCAGAGCACATTATACACAGGGTCTAAGGACCAGAACAGAACCTTACAATGCATAGGTAGATTACTAAAATAAACTGTTGATAGAAGATACACTACAACATACAAAATCACAACTCGCAGCTAACCCTAAAACCCAATTTTCCAATACAACCCATCACAAAAAATTTCAAAATCAGTCCTCCGAAATTAACTGAAAGAAACTTACAGTATAAGTCACATCAGGCTTCTCCGACTGACTCAACAGCGAAATACTAGAATCGGCCTCGGGAGGCAAAACATCAACAAGCGCATTCGAGTGCCTATGCAAAGCCACCGAGGCAGAGGGCTTCAAAAGCTCCCGATTAATAGTACTCAAAATCCTGACATAGTAATTCGATCCGGCGGTGGATCCAACAATCCCGTAATTCTCATCGATCATTTCCAAGAACTGGCCAATAACGAGAGGCACGGACTGGATTCGCTTGACCTCTTCCTGGGATCGGAGTTGCTCGCGCTTGAGGTTCTTGAGTTCGTCCTTTGTGTACTCTTCTTTGATATCGAGAAACTCGAGGTGGCGTTGGAGGGATTTGTAGAGGGTGTAGACGTCGTCATTTGACGAGGGGGTGGGTTGGGGAGAGTAGGTGGGAGGGTTGGTGGTGGGGATGTGGAGGGGTTTGGATCCATAACCATCGCTGTGGCCATTGCTGGTGGCGGTGACCGGGGGCGGAGCTCCTCTGCTGTTGACGAAAAACGGCACAGTGTGTTGTTAAACAAAACGCTGGCGTTTTGTTAGATGTGACCGATGGCGAGAAGGATAGGAACGAAATGGAATACTGCCATGGCATATTACATAATTAATAAAATAAATTAGATAAAGTTGATTAATATTCAACAAAAACTCCAAATTAACGATCCAAATACAACTCTGCGTGTAAATTTTTTCGGTATCATATTCAAAAAAAAATCAGTACCATATCTTAAAAAGATTTTTTATTTATAAATTTTAATTTGGGTTTTATTTGATCGTTGAATTGAAAAAAGTGAAATAAAATAATAAATAAATTTTTCACGTATTATTTTGTGATCAGATTAAAAAATATAATATTTAAAAAAATATTTTGCAATAGGAAAGTATAAACCCTTTAACATGTCCAATTAGTGATTGAGCAATGTTATTGGAATTCAATTTACTGACCTAATTCACTATGATATTTAGATTCATTGTAGATCCTATCAAATATTAGAACTTGGTATTGATCTAATAATTCCTAAGAAGTCACATCATTATATCAATAAATTATATCAAATTTTTAAGATCAAATAAAAATTTTGGTGGAAGAGCGGATATAAAGACTTTGCATTTTAGGAATCGTTTGTATACTTGTGCAGAAAGTATCTTTTTAGTGGGCCACATTTAACAAAACACAAACGTTTTGAAAAACGATCAGTAGAGGAGTTGCGCCCGATCGATGAATATAGGTCGTTCACCAATATTTACTTTTAGGAGAATTACATTCAAATTTTTAAAGATTTGTCATTTAATCATTTAAATTTTATGATATTTGAAATATTATATATAGGTCCCTTAAAATTTATACTCGCATAGCACTTAGACCCCTACCGTATATCAGTTAGTAAATTATATCCAGACCCACTGAAGTTTGTAGGCATATAATACTTGGACCCCTCAAATTTAAAATGTTATATTTAGACCTAAAATATTTCAATCAAAGATAAAATATCAAATATTTTAAATTTTATAACCAAAATTCATATTCTGTTATAAAATTTATTGAAATAAAATTAAAAATAAAATTTTAATTTTTTTAAAAAAAATCATAATTAATATACAATTATACTATTTATTGAAATTTAATTTGATCATTTAAACAATCAAATTAAATTATGAAATTACCCCAATTAAAGGTAGAATATATTGCATCCATTAATAGTTTGACCCCTTATTTGATTTTTTTTAGTTTTATTCCAATAGATAGTATAATTGTATACTAATTATGATTTTTTAAGAAAAATTAAAATTTTATTTTTGATTTTATTTCAATAAATGACATAATAGAATATGAATTTTGATTACAAAATTCATATTTTATTATGGATGACTTAAACCCCTTGTTTAATATTTTAGTTTTATTATAATAGATAGTATAATTATATATTAATTACGATTTTTTAAGAAAAAATTGACTTTTTATTTTTTATTTTACTTTGATAAATGATACAATAGAACACGAAATTTTGTTTTAAAATTTAAAATATTTGATATTTTATCTTTAATTGGAGTATTTTTTGTTTAAATATAACATTTTAATTTTAGTGATTTAAGTATTTTATGTCTACAAACTTCAGGACATCTGAGTGTAATTTACTGACAAATATAATAATAGACATTTGATGGCAAAGGTTTAAGTGTTATGTACATACAAACCTCAGAGAGTTTACGTGTAATATTTTATATGTCGGGGTGAGCGATTAAGTGACAAAACCTTAAGAATGTGGGTTTAATTCTCCATTTGATTTATCATACTCCTTAGGGGTGTAACTCGGGCGAGTTAGGCAGGTTGGACAGTCAATCATAGCTCAATCCTAAGTATATAATCTTCAATCATAACCCTAACCCTAACCCTAACCATAACCCTACATCGGGTTGAGGAACTCACCCGAGTATTGTCCGAGTTTAATTCGGGCGGACTCGGGTTGAATTCGGGTTAATGATTTCAAGTTATTTTACGGGTTTAATTCAGGTTAAACCCAAAATAGGCTTGTTGTTTTAAACCTAATACATATATTGCATAATATTCACCTAAATTAACAACCAATAACTTCAACCAAGTTTTTAACAGTGTTAATTCTAGAACAAAAATGAAAATGAACGAGAGAGACAGAGAATGATAGAACAAAAATGAAAAATCAGTGCTAATACTTTATATATATAATTTTTTAATTTGTCGGGTTCGGGTTGAACCCGATGCCTTAACCCGAGCCTAACCCAAATTGAATTCGGGTTGAGATTTTTTAATTCAAATATTAAAAATTTTTACCCAAGTCCTAATTTTTTTGAGTTAGGCTTGGGTTGAAATTGGGTTGCCCAACCCAAATTACATCCCTAATGCCTCCAATATTTTCAAAATTAAAAGGAAGACCTCGTTACTTCTAAAAATTAAAAAGACAAGACTCCCTCTTCTTAAGATTCCTCAAATCTATTTTTTTCTTTGCAAAAATTATATTCCATAAATTGATTAATTCTTTTACTAATTAATGTTTCATTAACAACAAAGTTTTATTCAATTATCAAAATTTCATTTCAAACGGTGCATTGTTTTGGTCATATAAAAAACAAAAACGTTTCAGAAATATTTTGAGAACAAATAAAAAAAATTGGAAATTTATGTACAAAATATTTGTGAAAACCTCTTAAAACATCTTAAAGCACCTCATAACATTCTGAAACACCTTGAAACATTGGAATAACAATTCAATCACTGATTCGTTTCGATCTCTTTAGAAATAAAAAAGTTTCAATTACTTTGAAATAAAATTTTGATCCTTAGTTTTATCGTGTGCCAAGTGTTAAAACTCTTTAGCATCTTAGGCAATTAGCTTTTTAAACTTCTTGAGAAAGCTCGAGGGCATATATTGTTTTACTCATTCTTTTGTAAAAGATCTTTGATCTTAGCACCTTCTTATACGTAAAATTGTTCCCCCATATCTTTATACCCTTTCATGTTTTTAATTTTCCCCCAAAAAAATGTTAAATACAAAGATAAGAATATGAGACATATGCAAGTCTATAATAATTCAATCAATCTAAACTTTGTTGTCAACAAAATCATATGCCATGGGACTTCTTTGCACATGTTCAATCAAATTAATTTTTGAGATATCAATTAATTCCACTACGAAAGAACTAGCTTTTAGTTTGCCTTGAATATAAAAATTGTATGAGAATTTAGCTCTTAACTTGTTCATGGTCATTTTGAACAAATCATAACTCAATCGTTTATAAAGTTGTCACATTACGTTGAACTTTTGAATTTGAAGTCATTGCTTATACTTCCACTATTAGTCATAATTTAAAAGAATATTCTATAGACTTGAGCATTCCAAGGTGCACTACCCTCTTAGGCATGCAATACTAAGTAGTCCACATTACAGAGTAGTGGATCATCGAATGGAAAAGGGTTAAGGATTTATCCGTGACATCACATTGTTCTAGGCACCCTAGACACTATCATAGTACAGAGTATCAACTGGGGGGCATTCTAGTGCGTTGTTGATTTTTATCCAACACTCTAGTATGTACGGTATTGTCTAGCTCAACAACGTAAGTATTGAGTGGGAATTAGATTGGATAATCATGAAATAGGCGATCTTTTTTTATAAAAATGAGAAATTTGGATGTTGGTCCTTTTTGCGGACTTATTTAGACTTAAGTCCACTAAAAAACTTGTTTAAAAATAAGTTTATTTTGATAACCCATTGTCCAAAATATCTTTAGTAATCAGATTTAATTAAATTAAATTTAAAAATTAATAACTCCTAAATTTTAGGAGTTTGGTTAACCTTAAAAAAAAATTTCTCACTCAATTCTATTTTCATACATATATAGATTAAAATTATTTTATCTCTCTCTCACACACACATATACATATATATTATGAGATAAAATAGTAACATTCAAATAAAAATAGTAACATTAATAAAAGAATTAACATTCAAACACAAAAAATAGTAATATTAAAAATTAACATTTGAGAAAAATAATAACATGTAATATTAACAGTAACATAGTCAATAAAAAAAATAGTAACATGCTCAACCAAAAAATTAGTAACATGGAACATTAAACAAAATTCGGGGTCAAACCAGTAACATCCTGAGCATTTGTAAGTAACCTAAGCAGCTGATGATGAAGATGATGATAGAAAATAATAATATGCTTACTACAAAAAATAATAACATAAAATATTGAACAAAATTGGGGTTCATTCACTTGTTAAACAATTAAATACATCTACTAACACTTGTAAATAGAAAACACCAAATATGCTGTTGTTTGTTTTCGGAAAATCCAAGTGTTAATCGACATCTAAGAACAAATTATTTGTTTTCGCTGAAAAAATTATCCTTGAAAACTGATAAAAAAAAAAAGTATTTCTAGAAAAAGTGTTGATCAAATCGAAGAGATTTGAGCACTATCGCTATGACCGTAACATTTCGATAGGGATGAATTTAAATAATATGACGAACTGTCAATGACATGAGGAATAAAATTTCTTCTAGTTTTTTTATTGGCAAGAATAAGTAAATGGACTTTTAAATTTGAATTTCAAATTTTATGAAAAAAAATCTTATGAACGTGAATTAAGGGATAAAGAATCCAAGCGTTCCCAATTAGAAAACAAAATTAATGTTTAATACTATTGAAACATTATACGAAAGGCATTTTGAAGTTTTTAAAAAATTGTAGACTTAATTACTTATTAGTAAGATAAAAGACAGACTTATTACCAAATAAATTTTTTTATTATATACGAAAATATCAAGTTCAAAACCAAATGTCAAAATAGTTTCAGAGGCTTTTCTTGACTTTGACATGTGAATAAATTACTCAAAATGTCTTACACTAGTTTATAACTGGCTTGAGTCGAATAGCAATAATTCAAAATACTTTCCGAACTATTTCGAAAACCCATATAGATATTTTCACATAAAAGATTTCCAGATATAGGGTAGCATGACTGTTATGGAAACAAATCCTCAATTTAGAGTGAGTAAAAAGACCCCAAAAAATAGATTCAGC